AACTATGTTTCTCAACAATGTTTCTAAACAATTTTAATTGTTTTAAATGCTGCTCTGCAACCACCAACTTCAAATGAAAATATAATATTTAAAATCGCCATTTCAAATCGGTCCAGCTCACTTACATAAATTTTAATATTTTTCTGAACTATTTTGGCACAAGCTTTAAAATATAATAAATAAATTGTATAAGTCCGGGAAGGCATGACCATGTTTTTATGCGCAGCGATGTACCCTAATGTGTATATACATATATTAAAAAGTATTACATACCTGACTTTAAAATATGTCATGTGCTAATAGCGCTCAATATATGTATATGAAGAAGACCGTGTTCAAACAGGCACCTAATTGGCAATTAAGAACCTCTTCACTAATTTATTAATTAATTTAACAATTAACAATTAATTTGTGTCAGATTCTCAATGTAACCCTGCTAGGTATGTTTAATTTTGACTTGGTGGTATGTTTATTGAACAAAGAGCAATTAACTGTTTGTTTCTGGTCCTCTTTCACAGCAGATATTCCATCAGAGATGAAGAATTGAATTATAAAAATTCTACATAATTTACGGAAAATTCTATTTGAAAGTAGATAGATGGACGTGAAAAGTATATGTGTATTTCTATATAAAGAAAAATAAGAGGATAACAATTTCCATTGATATCATATCAACTTCTGTACTCAAATTAAACAAAGTTTAGCTATGAAAATAATCTTTTCCAGCAGCGCGAGGCAAAACTATGTTGTAGAAAAGGAGAATCACTTTCCTCCCATTTCTTCAATTTGACGTTTTAAAAATAAATATTTTCCGTCTACCCTGGCGAAATCCACTACAATTGCGTTACTTCCTTATCGCCCTTCGGTATCATTTATATGCCCCTTCACAAAGGAGGGAAGCAGTTGCCCGCACCAGAAAATGCATTGAAATGTCAATAAAAATATAAACAGATTTCCAGAGAAGTTCTTTGGCTACATTCCAAATGTACCTAAAATTGTGTGTTTGCACCGAATGTACTTTCAAGCTAAATAAAGGTACTATTGTGCCAACTTTTCCATCACTGTGGGTAATCCAGCAGCAAGAATGATAGAGTACAAGATGGCGCCGTCCTGCCCGTTGACATTTGTGTACCACAAGTAAACAAAGAATAGAGCGAAAAGAAGAACGAGTTGAAACTGCCAAAACAGTTCACTTTACATCGAAAAACGTCTTGCATCTTGATGGCTGTCGCAATTTAACACACGGCTCTTCATTTTATTGGTTTTTACGCCGTCTTCAACTTAAAAATCACTCAAAATTGCAAATTAACACAACTTAAACTGATTTTTCACTTATAATTCAAATTTTTCTTTGCCGCTGATTTGTAAACAAAGGTTGTTTACTAGTTACCACAACTGTCAAAATCGGCAAAACCAAAGTAACGGTACCGATGACGGTGCCACTTTTGTTCGCTGCACCGTGATCCAGCAGCTGATTTCGTATCGCTAATTGCGCAGCTGACATGTGTGTGAACACCCAACTCAATGCCGCAATTTAAAGCTTAATTGCCTCAGCTAATTGGGCTGTTTGAACACAGTCTAAGAATAAATAATATATTAAAGCAAGTAAAGTCGATTCTTTTCTTTTCTGAACTTGAAGTTACTTTTGTCATTTAACAATTAACTAGAGTCACGGCATTGAAACGCCCAAGATAGAGTTTCAAAAACCTATAAACTATTCCAAATGTTAGTAAGGTATAAGCGAATCGAGGTTCATATTTCTTGTCAATCCGTGCAGCCGTTTCGCATAGTCGGTTTTTAATATTATCAAATTTTAAATCATCCTGTGCCGATAAGAAGTTTCTAATTTCAAAAAATAAAACTTTATCGCACATCCACAGAGCAAGGTTTTTATTTTTCAGGTTAATTTATTTTCGAGTAAACTTCTACAAAGTTCAATTTGAGTTCGAAGCGAATTTGGTTTAAATTCAAAGCCATTTCGATTGATATCCATCGTTTAAAAATGCATTTATCTTATAAAATAATTTGAATGCAGCTTATAGAATACGTGGCAACTCTCCTAAATATATTTCAGAAATAAAGCCTTTTCAAAATGATTTCGATGATATACATCTTTTAATAATTCATCCAACTTAAAAAAAAAAAAAATTTTAATGCCATTTTATAATTACGTGGCAACCTTCCTCAAACATTCCAAATGTTCAAACTCTAGTTCTTTTAACACCCTTTCGCTTCATATTTCAAACAACTTGCGCAAAAGTTAATCAAATTAGAATTTTTAAACAGGTGGCACCCCTCTTCAAAAGTAGTTGCGCGCTAAGGTATTCTTAAATATTCTTCTTCCATTGCGATACATATTTTAATTAGCTGATGAATTAAGTAAAATTTTATTTTTTAATTATGTGGCAACCCCGCTAAATGTAGTTCATATTGATACCCATATTTTAATAACTCATTTAACTTATTTAATAATTTGAAATAAATTTTTAAATATTTAACTTGTTTAGTAATTTGAAATACATTTTCAACCAGGTGGCAACCATCTTACAATGCCTAAAAAATATTCTTAATGTTTAAACCAAAGACTTCGTAAGGCTCTTTCGTTTGACATCCAATTTTGACATTTCATATAACTTTTGGATAAGTTAACTAAATTCGAAATTTCAAACAGATGGCAACCAACTTCAAAATATTTTCAAACTGCTCAAATTGGCACCCATAGGTTGAAAACATTTTTTTCTAATTAATTTCCCTAATTGAAATCTAATTTGATTTTTTAAACCGGTGGCAACACCCCTAAAGTTAGGTTATGAAAGAAATATTTTCAAAACCATTTCTATTGATACCCATTTTGAAGTATTTGTTTTTTTTTTTAGATAATTTGAAAATAATTTTTAAAAGGTGGCAACTTTTTTCAAAAAAGTAAAACGTTACCTCATTTAGGAAAATCGAACAAACGGTGCGGTTATTATGGCATTGCTTATTAAATAATTAGAATTCAATTGTAGTACAGGTGGCAACTCTTCTCGAAAAAATTAAACCAGTTTGCACATCTACAGGCAGATATTTTATGCTGCACAAAAAATGCCTCCGCGTATTATATATACATACATATATAGAAGATACTACCCCTTTAGCACTTAATACTGCAGTTAGATTCTATTGAATAAACTAATTACAATTTGAGTACTATTATGAGTAATAGCTAATCTATGAACTCGTAAAAATTTAATCAATAAATCTCTAAGAGGTTCTCACGCATAGCTTTTTGAACACAAGTCTTAAATTAGACATCGTTCACACTATGTTTGTATATATGTATGTACATAGATTTTCAAAGCCATGTAGAATGCGCTATAAGATGTAAAAGATTGATGCGCATAATATATTACGCACACCTCTAAACTATAGTGTTAATGATGATTGAAATCAGCAGAATTACGCATATTTTAGTAACAAAAAAAAAATATATATATAGAGAGCTAAAAATCGCATTTACTACGAATATGCAACATATATACATACATACAATATTACATTTGTAAATGCAAGTTATGTATGTATGTTTGTATGAACATTATTATGCATACATACATATGTAGGTAAAATGCATGCTCGCACAGACAAGGCCGCATCTCTGGCATCGTTAACGGTGTCTTTGCTTGCGTGGTAATGATGTACCAAAAAAGGTGTGAAGGACACGCAGGATAACAATCATAATGATAGCAATGGCCGTCAAATGCTATAACGGAATGCAACAAAAATATTTAACAACAAAAAAAGAATAAGAAAAAAAAAAACAAAAGCTGAAAATAGCGCTGCGATGCAGTCTTTTAAAGTTGGGGATGCAGATGATGGAATACTTGAAATGAATCAGTGCTAGGAGATGAATAAAATTTGTTTGAATAGAAAGACTGGTCGGATGATTGAGGGCGTGTAAAAAAAGCAACAAAATGTAAATATGTATCTATGTATGGTTGAAGCTATGCACAATATTCTGAGCAGATAAGCACAAACAGGCAAGCAAAGTAGGCAAGCACAAGCACAAGCACAAGCACAGGCGGGCAGGCAGGCAGCAATAAAGCACAGCACAGTATGACACAGCTCACATATGTATGTATATGTTTGTATGTATGCACATAAGAGATGGCGGTAAACAGCAAATGGCGTATGGTGAAAAAAGTGGTAAGAAAATGACAGTCGATTGAGAGTTAGCGAGTGGGCGTATGTACATATGTATGTAGGTAGGTGTCTATGTCAATGTATGCGTGGCATGGCAGGTGAACCTACCGTTATTAAAGAAGAAAACTAAAGTAAACAAACAAAAAAAAACAAACGGCAAAGTATGTCAGAAATTAATTAAGCAAAATTTAGTTCACAACGAATGGCGCTTCGAAAGGCTGAATATAAATATGTTTGATGGTATTTGTGTATGTAGATGAAATTAAAACTAAAAGCGAAAAAATTTGCGCTCATCAAAAAATTAAAAAAAAGGTGAAATGCCCGGCATTAGAACTACTTAGCTACTAAAATGAGTGATGCTCATGTGACAACGATGATGTTTCGAAATTTTGCATTTTGTAGAAGCAAAGTTTGGACGTCAAAAGTATGCTAGACGCTAAGTTACATGCAACGTACCCAAACACAACAAAATACATATATATGTAGTTTGTTTTTGTAGCCAACTTTTTGATTAAAACGCTTTAAGCTAATTAAAGGGCATGAAAAAATGACAACTCAACTTAGTTAAAAAAAAAAATCAAAAAAAAATAAAAATAAAATATCTAAATTTGTTTTGTTCATGAAAGTGCATGGTATCCGTTTAATTCACTAAATTTGTTTTTATTAGCAATTTAGTAACTAATATTATCGAATTTCACAAAAAAAAAGAAACTAAAAATATCACGTAAGTTTAGCTTGGAATTTTTGCTTTCTCTTTGGGATTTTCAGTATCTTTTTTTTTTTTTGTAGGTTTTTGTTTCTAAGTCACACGCACTCACCTCGCGATGACCTATTTGGGAGCGGCTGGATGTGGATACTGTGTATATGCCTCATCGGGTGATGCAGCTGTGCTAGCCTGTTCGGAATCTGTCATTGGCATTGTTGGAATAATTGTTGGTTGTGCATAATATGGATAAGTTGGACTAATATACTGTAATGATGGAGAGAAATTCTATAAAAAAATCAAATAAAGAAAGAAAAACAAATTTCATATTTAACGGTTAATATTCACTTATTAAATGGCCAAAACGATGATGATGCGTAGATATTTTTGTTTGATTTTGAAATTTTTTTTTGCACATATGTACAAAAATGTGTATGGAAATGGGTAGAGGAGTGAGTGAAAATAGTGAGCAAATATTTGAAAATAAAATTGTTTTTGCAATTTTCAAAAAAAAAAAAAAAAAATTAGAACCAAAAAACTCTTTACACCATTTATGAATGTGAGTACAAAAGAAGTTTGATAAAAAACAACTCTTAATAAGTGGAAAATGTGCACGAAATCTTGCAAAAAAAATGGTGCTTTATTCGAAAGAGTGTGTTGCTGGTCCACAAAATAGTAATAGTATTTGTATTTATATACATAGAATAGTAGGCAAACTTTATGACACAACAAAAACTGCATTGTATGTATTGAAAAAAAAAACAACAACAACAAATATTTGCTTGTAAAAATTTTCAGCAAATGAAAGCAATTGCTGTACCCATAGGTTACCCTCAATATGAAATGTCATCCTAATTTATGAGTATAAATGATGAGTCGAAAATGAGTGCATTGCATTTCCTATTAAGTGTTAGTTTTTTAAGCTACTCACTCAAATTTTGTTTTAACATTTTACATGTTTTTTAAACTTACGGAATTGCCAATTTGCAATGTGGCTAGTTGTGGCACCATTGGTCCATATGGCACAGACGGATCACCACTGACCATCATCGAGATACCACGTGGTTGCACCTGATTGACTGCGTCTGGTTTGTAGGATGCGACTCCCAATTGTGGGGCAGCAGCCATTTGCATATACTGTAAATGAAAAGTTGAAGTAAGAAATTAGTTTCGACATATTTAAGAGGGAGGTAAATATTTTGCTTTAATTTCATATTTAAGAAAACTTATGCTATATGTATGTGGTTTACAAAAAAAAAAAGATCTATGGATGCCACTATTCAATTTCTAAGTAGAACTGCTCGCTGATTGCGAAAATCGAGTTACTTTTTTCTGTATGGATAGGCTTTCGAGATATTTTCACTAAATCACGTATATCTTAGAAACCAATTGAACAATATACGAAATGTTGCAAATTTTTTAATGAAAAAATTAAAAAAATTAAAAATTTAACAGGAAAAAAATTACAGTTACCAAGCCTGATCTGTTATAAAAAAAAAAATAAAGCTAATTACTAATGAAGAAAATCGACTGATAGTAAAAGTGGAATTAGTGGTCAAATGAAAATGCGCAAAGATTTTTTGTATGAAAAATGAGCAGGAAAGAATGTCACTCATACGCGATGTACACATGAATAATAATCTTTCCTGGTCATATTTCATACAAAAAATCCTTATTCATTTTTGTAAAGGAACAGGCTTTTATACAAGTGCAAAAATTCGTATTTTTCCCCTTAAAAAAAACAAAAAAAAATTGAATAGATATATTAATTTCTCAGAAACTATCAGGCCTATCGAACAGTGGTGTAAATACGGTTTATGGAGAATTTCGTTAGATTTAATTAGCCACATTTCGTATTAAGATTGTTTAATTGGTTCGTAAAATATACGTGATTAAGTGAAACCACATTTTTTTTAACTGAATAACGGTAAATTGCAAATGTCTCGAAAACGTATCCATAGAAAAAAATTTATTTGTGGAACAAAAAAAAAACAAATTTGTGATCCAGTGTTATCGCTTTTTTGCGCAAACAGAAAATTATTTCTTCAGCAAAATTTCGCCCAAAAAAGTTTTTTTTAATGAAAAATGAGGCGAATGCAATCTTAAATATCCTTCCGTGCGCCTCTTGCTTTCACCAGCGGAGAGTTTCGGGCGGCGATCGGGAAGGTGAAAGCCTTTAAAGCCATTGCATCCGACGGAATACGCATGCTGATGCTGAGAAAATTACGTCCTGCGGAATAGACTATTCTCAATTCGTCCCTGGCCGCTATTATCATTCTATATATCTGGAAAACGAGGAGAGTGGTCCCACTGCTTAAACCGGGGAAAGCGGTCAACAAGGCAGAGCCTTATCGCTCGATAACCTTCCTTTCCCCGTTAGCGAAGACACTTGAGATCTTGCTACTCCCGCGCTACACGCAACAGCTGGCTTCAGCATGGTTTCTGGAACGTACCCTGCACAACAACAGCACTTAACGCCATAAACACTCAGACAACTCACTTGACTGAATCGATATCGCCCCTGTAAGAAAACAGTCCTAGTAGCGTTAGATTTGTTAAAGGCCACTCCACGCTAATAAATAGAAGACATTGAGGCTTCTTATCTCCAACAGCGATTCAAACGATGGTCGGCGAATTATTCGAGTTGTCGACATTCGTTAGTAATTTTCAGAGACAAAACCAGCAAACCGACAAAAATTTAACAGTGGGTCCCACAGAGTGGTATCCTGTCTCCACTGCTGTTTAATTATTACATCCCGAAGCTCCCTCAACCACCAGAGCGAGTCACAATTGTCTCTCAAGCTGATGACTGCTCGATAATGGCGTCCGGGAATGGAATTGATAACTTGTGGTCGAAAGTAAACGGGTTTACCTCTCCCAGATTCTTCACTGCACGGAGCCCAACCTTCCCCCTACGAAATCCTCGGCAACCCTTTTTACCACCTGGTCAGACTATAGTTGGGAATTCACGTCGATGGCGAACCAATTCCGACGGATAAAAACCCAAAAATTTTCTCACATTCGGCAGTCTGCTCTCCTTTTCGACGCATATAACCGCGATTCTCAATAGAGTACAGAGCCGCAATAAGCTCTACAAGTCGCTAGCCGGCAGCACCTGGTGCCAAGGCAAGGAAACGATGTTTTGGCAACATACAAGGCAATTGGCCGACCAGTTATAAACTATGTAACGCCCGTGTAATCACCGGAGACTAACAGCATGAAGTTGACGTAGCTACAAGTATGCCCGAACACGGACGGTGGCTGGATGCCTTCTGATGTCACCACCTTCACGACGAGGCTCGAATGCTCATGGTGAGGAAGCACAATACGATGCCCTGTAAGCAGTTCTTAGTAGGGTGTCACAGATGTGTGCATCCGAACAGACCATCGCCTAGGCACGTCAGAAGGCACCTATACGACCTACGGACGAAGTCAAGAGGTTTCTAAAGCAACCTCTGGACCCGAGAGCATACCGACAGTCCATAAAAAGAATTCACAGGAAGTCGATCTCGACTTACACTGACTCTCGACATGTGAATACCGCTTTGGGAACATAACCACCTGACGTGGACGAGACAGAGCTTCGTCTGCCTTGGGTATTTCCCAGTTTGGTTGAAGAATGCACAATCTCAAAATTTATTCAAAAACGACCTATCCCAGCTGCTGCTTCGAGAATGCCCCATCTCAATGTAAATTCAATATATCGGCAGATGAGATAGGGCATTCTTGAAACGTTTGCTGAGATGGGGCGTGTTCGAACGATGGGAGAATTCGAAAGAAATAATTCTAGCCAACGACAGTGGTTCAGTTTGCGACAGGTACCGAAGATGATGATAAGGTGAATTGTATGTCCTTTGCCGTACATGAACATAGTCAGACTATTTCGCGGGACTGATGATGACACAAATTTTTTCTGGAACAGCCCTTTTGCATTTGCTTGTAGCACTCTTTTATTTTTGGCATTTTAAGTAGTATATCTTTAAATATACATTGTAGTTTATTTGTAAATAAATTTGTCCATTCATTTCTGAACTAACTCACCTGATCCTCAACTTGAGGTATTGGTTGCGTCATCATATAGCCTGGTATCCATTGTGAGCCAGCTGTCATTGGGTAACTACTAACTGGCGGTGCACCAAAACGTGAATACGGCACACCGATTGGTGTACCAACATTAACACTAACACCATTTTGTTGCATTGTCGGATCGTAGGTGACCGGTATGCCTTCGGCGGGATCACGCCACGTTCGCGCATTCGGATCGGGATTCTTGTAGAGATTCTTCTTTTTTGGACCACCATCGGCAAATTTAACCAAAAGTGGATCTTTGGCACCCTGTATTGTATTACCATTGAATATTTGTATAATTTGTTCGCATTTCTCGCGACTCTCCATGCGTGCGAAGCCAACGCCTAAACAATAAAGGAAGATAAAATATTTACAAAAAGAAAATGTTTAAAATATTTTATAAATAAATAGTATGTATGTATGTAAGCTTGTTTGAGGGCATTTTGAAAAATTCACTCACCTTTTGAATTCATTTGCTGATCGCGTAATATGCGAGTAGACACAACTTGACCATATTTCGAGAGCATATTCTCCAAGTCCGTCTCCTTGAAATGTGGTGGCAAATTTGCGATGTACAAATTTGTGGGATCCTGTTCTTGTTGCTGTTGAGTGATTGTCCATTTTGGTGAAAAATCGTTTTGCGTGAGTAAGTGTGTGTGTGTGTGTTTTTTTTGTTGTTGTATGGATAGATATGTGGCCCGGCGTATACGTGGATGGTTGTTGTTGCAAAGCATTGCGATTTGAAGAGATGTGTTCCATACATTATATAGAGTTTCATTTGGTGTGTGTTTTACATTTACAGTGCCGCATAAAAGTACAACATAACAAGCAATTCGAGAGCAATTCGTAAATATTGTTACATTTTGTAGTCATAACAAAATTTATTTGAGCGTTTTTGTTGTTTCGGTTAGATGTGTGGTGTTGAGTGCAGGTTGATGGATGTTGTTTAATTTTTTTTTTTAGGACACCGCAGATTGGCACATTTTTTCGCGTACGTTGTAAAACATGAGAATTAGATGGAGAAATATTTGAAAAATAAAATAATTATGAGTTAGTTAAATTTCAATATCAGACAGACATCTTTGGAAAAGCGTGTTTATGTATGTATGTATGTATGTATGTATGTATGTATGTATGTATGTATGTACGTGTAGAGTAGCAAATGTTTGCATGTTTGCATGAGTAAATATAGTATTTAATTTTACATTTGTATACATGTATGTTTGAGTGCAAGTACTTATATATGTGTAGTATGTATGTGTGTATGTACCCATCTATAGAGCTTTTAATAAATAAGTACATATATATGTATGCACATACATACATACACACTGTTGTATGCCAATATGTCCTGTTCATTTTGTTATTGCACGAGAATGCGTGTTATTCTTGTGCGCAAATCGAATCACTTATTTTTCCTAAGTTAATACTTATTTATAACTTTATTACACTATTTATATTACAATAATACATATTATACCAAAAGTGTGTGCGCTGAAATCATTATAAATCGATTAGCAGTCATTGAACTATTTGGCTTTAATTCAATTAATTTGATAGCAATTTGTCATTCGATGCCATTAAAGGCGAAGACGCGCAGTAAATTGATTGTAATTTATCCATTTGCTACATTCATTAGTTCAGCCCCTATATCATTAAGGCACATGTATGTAGTTGTGTATATTTGCTGCACCCTTCGCAGAATGCATAATCGTTACGGTGGCCATACATACTTACATATTTTAGAAATAAAAATATAGTACAAGCCTTTATTACGTACAATGTACATGCAGCAGGATGGGTTAATTTCTTTTTGACTAACTATGCACATATAGCACAGAAAGATTCTATGTGCAATTCTAAGCAAATTTGCTGAAGCAACCATGAGTCCAAATTCAATTTGGCCTTTTCCAAATTGCGACAATAGTGTTCGAAAAAAATGTGGAAATTTTCACTGTTGCTCCCTCTCGTGGAAGTTTTGAGAAAAAGATATGTGCAGAAATCGATTCCTCACACCAAAAAATTCTTTGTAGCATTTTTTTCATAGACCCAGAATAATAATTATTTCATGGAGGAGGTCATCCAAATTTTCGTAAGAATTATAAAAGTCTTTTGATAATAATTATGTGTGAGAAAATTTGTTTAAGTCATCGATAACTATTATTTTAAAACTTATACAATATAAGTCTTCTCATAATAATTATCAGCGAGATAAATATTTTTAAGTCTTCAAAGACTTTTATTTTTTAGACTTATATTTTAAAAGTCTTGCCATAATAATTATCCCTGCGATAAATATTTTTAAGTTTTCAAAGACTTTTATATTGAGACTTATATTATAAAGGTCTTTTGACAATAATTATGAGTGCGAAAAATTTTGTATTTAGTCCCGAACGGGTCCCAAACCAAGCCCCAACTAGTCCCAAACTGTTCCCGACCTAGCCCCGAACTGGTTCCCAACTAAACCTAAAATGCTCCTGAAGAACTGACTGGGAATCTCCTGAAGACAAGAAAAGTTTTCCGATCGAAAACTGTTGATTTTCAAGAATTCTACACTATTTCTACGAAAAGTTGTTTTTCCCCCATATAAAATACATGGAAAACTTTGAGCGCTTTGAGCACTCCCTATTTTTGTTTTTTTTTTTTCAAAATAAAAAAATAGGGGTATATTTTTTTTCGATATAGAACAATCCTAGGGGGTGGCGGCATTAAAAATTTGACCTTATTTCTTTTACATACATTTTTGGACCACTTTACTGTATATATTCATGTTCTGCGAGCTTTAACGGAGCCGTAATATTAAAAAATTGCATACAGGCAAAAGATACGACTTGTAGTCTCGTATGTATGTATAGAGCATCAGCTGTCACAGCTGACATAAGACCATTATTTTCTTCGGAGTTACAGTATGGTGACGAACCCTGGCCAAAGCCACGTCCAAACGAAAAATGGAAAATGTGCTTATCTCGAAGATATTTCCCGCCAAGATCTGCAAAGCTCCTAAAGCTCTTTCGGTCGTTCTTGCGACAAATTACTGGCTAGCGTAAATTATGTCTAGCTAAACATCTTATCTGCCTGCTTTGATAACAAGTTTTCGACAAAAAACCTCGTTAAGAGCGAATAGTAAAGTGTAAGAAGCTAGACTCTAGTCCATTGAAATGGAGTAACATCTGTTCAGACCGAAAGGGGAAAAAGCTCTCACATCTCTCCCAGGGACTTCAGGCCAATCAACCTCGCTGCATTTTTGGTTAAAAGTCTGGAGAGGCTGGTTGATCTGTCAGAAGTTCGAAATGCATACGATTGCTAGGCCGATTGAGGAAGCCTTCATATATATAATGACCTCACTATGGGTGCTTGTCTCGATATCGAGGGCGCCGTTAACAATGTCCTACCAGGGACTACAGTCAGATCCCTGATTAAGCTTCAGATAAAAACTGATCTTGTTAGGCTCATACACCGCATAATCAGTGACAGAATTGTCGCAGCGGAGTGGGCTGGTGCCACCGTCCATCGCAAGGTAACAGCACACATCCCAGGGTGGTGTTGTCTCTACCCTTTTCTGGATTCTGGTCGTAAACAACCTACCAGAGGAGTTGATGAGCATGTCAGGCGATTCCCCTCTGATGATGTGGCACTTTAAGGTGAACCTGATGGCTAGATGGTCTGCGAACTGCGGAACTTGCTGTCAATCCCAGTAAAACGGAACTCGTTTTGTTCACTAGGAGATATAAGGTCCCCACGCCACTCCTCACGCGGTCGGGGGCTTTCGTCTGGCGTTTTCTGACGGGGTCAAATACTTGGGCTTGATTCTTGACTTGAAGCTGTCGTGAAAGCCAGGGTTATTTACTGTATCTTCGAAACCATAGTCATGCCCATTATGTTTTATGGAGTCCTCGCCTGGTGGAATGCACTGGAGGAGGCTAGGTCAGTCGGTAGGCTAGAGCGAGTGCAATGAGCAGCGCTCACTGGAATCAGTGGAACGCTTAGGACCACTCCCACTCTGGCCCTTAACGTGCCTGACACCAGCTAGCTCTTTATCAGCGCACATCCCATCTAGGGATGAGGGGATGGAGAGCAGTAGTTGGAGGGGTCACCGGTGAACTTTTACATAGATGGGTCGAAGCATGAGTTCTCCAGGTCACGGTAGTGTTTTTCAGGCGGAGGTTGTGGCTTTAGATATGGTAATTCCCCCTTATGCCATGTATTTAACATACGCCAAAACTTGGAAAAGATCCATGACAAAGGGATCGACACTGACCACACCTTTGTCGATTTTAAAGGCGCTTTTGATAGCAAGAAAAGACGTTGCCAGTATAGGAGCTTTTGGCGGAAGAGCCCTATACGAGTCAACGGCTCAAGTTCCCCAAGCCCTGATTAGGGCCAGCAGCAGAGTGCCTGGAACCTTAAGATGGTTGCCCCTTTACCAGGATACGGAGGTAAGGGTGACATTCTGGCCTTTCGACCAAAGTGATCTAAAATGCCTGCAAGTTTTCGCACTCTGATATGTTTGGCTTATAAACAAATTTGAAATGATGAGTTGCTAAGAAATGTTAGCTCTGAATACGAATACAGAAATGGAAGTGGATAGGTCAAATCTTGAACAAAGAAGACGGCAGTATTGCAAAGAAGGCCATGGAATGGAACTCTCTAATTGGCAGAGGCAGACCCCCCGGCAGACCGCGTGAAACGAAGAGCAGTCGACCGAGAGGTGAAGCAACTCGGGTTAAGCTGGAAGGAAAACAAAGCGATTGCCAGCGACAAGAGGTACGCCTCCTCTGCATTAAAAAGATGACGTGGATAATAGTAACTTCCAACTGGCAGAAAAGAGAAGCGACTGCCGTGCTTTGTTGAACTCCGCCAAAATCGTTAAACTGTTTACAGCGCCAATCAAGAGGAAGATTTTTTTTTTTATTAATCACAAGCACACACACGCCTTTGGCATAGACCTACCCAAATTTTCTTAAGATAACTTTTATGTATGTATGTTAGTGAATATGTGAAATTGCTCATGGTTTGTCTTTATACCTCACAGGTGGTCCCATATTAATTTGGTTTAAATCGGATAATTGGATCATGAAGAAATTAACGATAATCTGATTTTTTTTTTATGAGAATTGAAGTCGGTTTTGTTCTTTGCTTAAAAATTACTTGTGTGATATCTTATTGCCGCAAAATGGCAGTTTTTATGTTTGAAAAAATTTGGTTGGCAATTGTCAGTGTTAACCATTGTTGGTATGGCCAACAGCTATCAAACCTGATATATGCGCACTCTGTATTTATTTTTTGTGTTCCACAGTGTAATCATCGTTTTTACGTACATATTTAACTCGTAATCAGCGACACCCTGTTACCAAGTTTTATATAAACGCAGTGATTAAAAAAATCTAACGTCGTATTGGACCCACCATTTTCCATTTAAAAAGTCTAGCTTCAAATTCGTAATAACCGACCCCAAAGGTTGACTGCTTGCTATATTGGGCCCGAAAATGTAAAATTTTAAAATCTAAATTCATATTCGAAATCAAAGATCATAAGTTAAATCATTCAATATTTTTACAATTTTGTCTGTCACATAAATAAGTCCGCCAGAATTTTGAGGTTA